GCGGTCGTGCTGCCGGGAAGGACACTGCGTCGGTTACGAAGCCGTGATAACGGCTGTTTGACACGAAGTGGATAGGGTGGGAAAAAAAAGTCAACGGAGCTTTTGTCCAAAGTCTACAGAGTAAGGATTTTATTGGAATACGACGCCGTATTTGGGTAGACTACGGTTCAATCTTTTTTTTTTTTTTTCCTACTACGACGCACCACCCACTGTTTTTTTTTTTTAAAGAAATTTCATTTGCAGTGATGAATTACCAATAAAATCAAGTTATTAGACAATGACGTGCGGATTAACGGTCTTTAATCATAATTATCTTATTTTGATATTTTCATATGATGAAAACATTCAATACTTCATTAATTGTCCGAAGTTTATTAAGAAAATCTATATATAGTAATAAAGATGTTTAAAGGATTGTAGTGAAGCCACCTCACCCTCCACCTCATCCATTTTTTAAAATTTTATTGGTCATTTGATATATTCATTATTTTGATAAACCACATCATATTCTATCTCATCATTTTTATAATTTTTATTTGTAATTAAATATATATATATATATATATATATAATTTATCATTACAGTTTACAATAAAATAAATAATAAAACCACTCAAATATTATAATAGAAACTAATATATATGATTTTACATTATAATATAATCTAATAAAAATATAAATATTTTATATTCTGTATCAATTTACACAAAATTTACAATAAAATATTTAAAAAAATTCTTACAATTAAAAATGTTGCCAAAAATAATCAATACTCCACTAAGAAAAACAAAAACGGTAGAATATTCATTTACACATTTACGACCATAATTACTAATGTAACCAAAAAAACAAAAACGTGGTCTATTTATGATCATAATTACTATTGGAGTTAAAAAGTAAAAAATAAAAAATAAAAAATAATAATGACCAAGCACACTGATGATGATGTCATCAATCGCCACGTAATGGTTGGAGATACGATGATTGTTTCACAGTAATCTGGAATTCACGGTCAGGATTTGCCGGTGGTCCAAGTGAACGATTGGGTAGAAATATGATTATGATACGTGACAACTATTTAATCGTTAGTAATAAGAATACGAAAACAATGTATTGTGTCTTACAACTTGTAACGTAAATAAAGACGGCAAACTCAAACGTCATGTCGTATTCCTATATAAAATTATCCAACGCCAAATTTATCCATGTATTGTCTTGTCACCATGTCCAACGTCGTTACAGCTGCTGCTATAGCTCACCGTCATCTACTTCTCGCTCAGTTGTACCAGCTGCTCTGCCGCTTCCATCTTCATCTCTAAAAATACCTTTTCCAATTCACCGGAAAAATTCTTCTCTACCACTGGATATTGATGTATATCACCAGATTCGTCGGAATAATCTAGAAAATCAACAAACAGAGAAGATGGATCAAAAGGGTACTTGAATTCATCTCTAAAAATATCTTTCTACCCTCCTAATTATGTTCATTTGAATCGCATTCCTTTGTTTTATTTTATTCTATAGTTTACTTTGTCGCTTTGAAAGCGAATGAAAAGAATAGTTCATTTTTAATGATATTATTCATTGGATATCATTCATTTTTATGTTCACTTGAATCCTCCTGATTATGTCCACTTGTATATCTTTCTCCATCAGTTTTCTCCCTTTTTAATGATATTGTTTATTTTGTTGTTGCTTTTAAAAAGTTTGTTCATCTCTTTTACAATGGTATACATCGAACATACGGATTTCCGATTGAAGGGTCCGAAAAATTACAACGAGCTCACTCCGGGTAAAACAATCATACTCAGATATATCTAGATATATGTATACACACACACATTTACAATTGGAATTTCATCTTTATTTTGCCAGGAAACATGATTTATAGTATTATTGTATATATATAACACCCATTGGAACACACGAACATGAAACAACTCTACAGTCCAATAATTTGTTGGAATACCATTTTTAGTTGTGAAATAGAAACACTTCATGATTTGTATAAATCAGGGAAAGTAAAAAACATAAAAAATCATCACACACGAAAACCAGAATCGTTCTGGTTTTTTTAATTAATTCGGTTTGTCTCGATTTTATTTGATTTCAGTTTTTATAGGCAAAAATACTCATTTTCTTAATGAAAATTTTGGTTTTATATTATTTTTTTTTGATTCAATTGGAGGACACATGATGTGGAACAAAGACAAACATGTTAGCAACAAGCATAGTGATGTTTTATTGACTTCTTAGTGTATGCGAGTTATATATTATCTTTGGTGATTTAGAATATTTTATTTCTATGTATCATTTCAAAAGTTTCATATTGAATTGAGAGGCATCGACATTTCATCATATATATATATATATATATATTTGAGAGTATCGGTTTAATATTTGATTTGGTATTCAGTTTAGTTTGATTTGGTTTAGATTTGAGTTTGTATAAATATTTTGTATGAACAGTTTGGAATGGACAACACACAATACTTATTGTTGTTCATATATTATTTTGATCTAGCTAATATGCATTTTATATGAAAAATACAAAATTTCTGAAAAAATTCATAAGCCAACAAGCTTGAGAATTAAATATCAGCTAAGTGTGGTTGGTCAAAGCTGTAAATATATTAATTTAATTAAGATTATTAAGTCAACAAAATATATAAAAAATTATAGACTAAATTAATTTTTAAAAAACGTATGAAAAATATGATTCTTGTGGTTAAAAAAAGATGAAAATTTCGATTATAATAAATTATGAATTTACGAATAAATGTGTATATATTAATATATATATATACATAAATTTATAATTTATTTATTAATTATATTTTTTCTATTTATATTTGATTATTTATTTGATTAATTTTTAATTAATTCATAAAATTAAATAATATTTTTAATGAAAAAATTTAAAAAAATTTCGTACATATAATAAAATTTATATAATAAAATTTAAATTTGAGTTGAATCATTCAAATCAAATTTGAAAAAAAGGAATAATTCTTGTCTTATGAAAATAAAAAATAATAAAAATTTAAGGAATAAAAACATAAACAAAATGTAAAATATATGTTAGAAACATAAATTTTCAACGGATATCATAATCAAAATCATAAGGTCGAATTCAACACTTTTCAAAATCATAAGTTCGAATTAAACTCCTTTTATACG